CTCTTTGAGTTATTATAATTGGGTTTGTAGTGGTGGGATTTATATGATGGTTCCCCCCTGCATTGATAAGCCTCGAAGGTCTTTATAGCCTCCAAGAATTCTTCCTCTGTACATGAGGCAGGGCATAGTGGACAAGCATACAGATGCAGAGTTGTCTGTTCTGCTTCACAGTCACGCAAGGTGTGGGGTTCTTTTAGGTAGTGTATTTTGCCAGGTTGTCTTTTGATTTGCCCACTTCACTCCTGAGTCTGTTCAGGGACTCAAAAGCATTGCTTTTAAACATTTCTTCAAGCGAACCCTACCCAATTCCCTCAGAGGGATTTCTTGGCTTCCAGACATTTGTCTATCGTGGTGGCCCTTCTCCCCACCCTTTCCAAGTCGCCCCTATCCTTCTTCAATCGTGGGGCCCAGAACTGATACATTATTATGAGTTCTCCCCTACAAACAGTTCTGACCCTTTATCTCACCCTGAGTTTTTATATCAGTTTTTAAAATCATTTTATGTACATGCGGCCCGCTCTCTGGTTTCTATGTTTTGTGTATATTGTTCATATGCTTTGATGCTGGTCGCTTCTGTATCAGCATCAAAGCATATGAACAATATACACAAAACATAGAAACCAGAGAGCGGGCCGCATAAGCTCTAGTTGCTCTCACTGCCTATTACAGGGAAAACCAGCTGATCCCTGACCCATCTAAAACACAGACATGTGCCTTTCATCTCAAGAACAGACAAGCATCCTGAGCTCTGAAGATCACCTGGGAAGGAACCCCACGGGAGCATTGCAGCGCACCCAAATACCTGGGAGTCACTCTGGTCCGTGCTCTGACCTACAAGAAGCACTGCCTGAACATCAAGCAAAAAGTGGGTGCTAGAAACAATATCATATGAAAGATGGCTGGCACAACCTGGGGATCACAACCAGATACAGTGAAGACATCTGCCCTTGCGCTTTGCTACTCTGCTGCTGAGTACGCATGACCAGTGTGGAACACATCTCACCACACTAAAGCAGTGGATGTGGCTCTAGAGACATGCTGCATTATCACGGGGTGTCTGCGCCCTAC